AATACTCCATTATAGCTAAACCTTCAAAACATCAAAACAGCACAAATAATATAAATAACCAAGCAGTGAACGTCGAATGTTGTTTTTCGATTATTAAATTCATGCAGTAATTGCAGTCGACTCTATAAACCTTTAAAGTGATATTTGTTATATTAAAACTCCAAAATACACTTTTAAGAACTCTTTTTGAAGTTAAAACGATGATGTAAAGCCTTAAATAGTCGGTCACGTCTTCGCAAAACCCTGCGCAAAACCGAGCAAAACGACAAACTGTACCAAGCTCATAAAATGTATTCGTACAACAAACACGAAAGAAACTTCGAAATAAACAAAATAGACTCCTACCATTTCAAGGATTATAAACCAGTTGTTCCTTTTCACCGCTAATTCTTCCGGTTCTGATAATATTTTAAACTCTTCCCAGTGTTTTATCTATTATTTAATTCCACATTTCATATTGTGTTTTCGAAACATTTTTTAAAAAAAATAGTTTGCAAAATGACAGTTAAATTGCTGACGTTTTTCACTGAAACAAGAACGTTTAGTCTTATCCAATCAGCAAGTTGCTAATTACCAGTCGTCACTCGTTCAAATTTTGCGCGTGCGCACAAGTACCATGACCATTGAACGTCCATGACATTTGGGGGCCTTTTTGGATTCCGCTATGTTTTCCCGGGTTCCGGGTGTAATTCCTAATCTCCGGGCGGAATTAGTACCCTCGCACGGTGCTCCGCACCGGCTTGGGGATAAAAAAGTGGGGGCGGACAATTACATATTCGTCCCCTTCTAAGCTCTTGATTCAGATTGTATATTAAAAGTGTTAGAGACTTTATGTTCGTGTTTTGTTTACAAATAAACGCACTTGCCGACCATATAAAATGAACTCGAAATTTCAATATTAAAATTTCTTGTTAATTGTATAGTTAGCGCGTGCTTCTAATTGTCAACAAAACTTTCACATAGTCTCAGTTTATATTAACAATACTAACCCGCTGTGGGTTTTTACAACTGGATGATTTCTCATACTTTTTTTTCTCTTATTTCAAACGTGAATGACTTGAGACGAAAGGTTCGAGCTTAGTACAGTATATTGCTTTGCATACAGTATCATTAAAAAGCATTTGTGTTCGAGTGTTGGCGGTTAAAACTTTGATTTTTTGTCTCTCTATAGTGTGTTTTAGCCAGTTTATTTAGCAAGTTCAGTTAACGAGACAAGGTTTCGGATAAAAATTGCGGACTGGTGCAAACTCTTTTCATCTAATTGGTTTACCGCAGAATCTGACCGGACGCTGCGTGAACGTGCACGTGTACGCCACAAGGCAATCAGCAAGCAGCCAATTAGCAACGTTTGCTACCGGAAACAGTACAGCTTAACCAATAGGGGCTCACCTTCATGACATGTTGTTAACATTGTGCCATTATCAAACATATCCGACGCATATCTAAAGCTCAAAAGGGTAACTTATGTTAAACACTTTCTAAGTGTTTTCAACCCATCTTCGCGATTTTTTCCACCAATTTCCTGATTTTCATAAAAAAATAAAATAAGTAAAAAAATCATGTAAATATATTTTTATTCCGGGGACTGACTAATATCCATATAAAGAACATCAGGGTTCTACCATACTCACCTTTGAACTTTTTACCTTCTTTCATATAGTTAATAAAACATTGTGTTGAATGTATTTTTAAATGTAAATGATTGTATGTAAATAGACATTGGTTCTGGGAGATGGAGTGCTCCCAAAGGTCACCCTCTACCCCATATAGACTCGCATAAATCTATACATGCATTCTTGTCTATACCTAATGACCTTCATAGGGATCCATGACTCCTTTGGCCATTTAAGATTCCTATCTGGGGAGCTATGACATCTTTTGAGTGAAGTCCAATACTGGGGAGCAGCTGCTAAACCCCTGAGGACGTCCAGCATTGGGATATACGACCCCTTAGGACATCAGAGTCCTGGCCAGGACTACATAATTAACTAGAATAAACTACATGCAAAAAGCTGTAACGAGTCTATAAGGGGTTATTTGCAATATATTTAGAGCACTTGTACCTCACAACATCTTCTCCCACAACTATTGCGTGTTTAGTGTCTGTCTCGGTTGGTCCTTTAATAATTTATAGCGATAGCGTTGTGTCCATCCGAATTGAAGCGTTGACTGAAGTTTTGCATACCAATTTTTGCTAAATTATGTTTGAATGGAGCAATTGCATTTTATTTCGGTTTAATCGTGAAAACATTTCTATTTTTCACTTTCCGTTTGAATATTTCGCACGTAGCTACGTTTTCGTTTTACATAAACAAAATACTTGTGATATTATTAAAAGTGGCTAAATGTAAATGTAAATTGGTGAAGAGTCTTGCAGAAGAAAAGTGCATGAAGTGTACTTGTGATATTATTAAAAACAGCTAAATGTAAATGTAAATTAGTGAAGTCTTCCAGAAGAAAAGTGCATGAAGTGTAAGAAACACAAAAGTTTCGTTGTTCCCGAATAGACATTTCTCAAAAGGAGAATTGCATTGCAAGAAAATTTGCACCATGTAAAAACAGGGCCTTGTATAGGCTTAATTTCAAATAACTTCACGCACAACTCTGACGCCAGTGAGGTAGAGGAAATTGTGTTTCAGTTTAACTTGTTTGTAGCTAATATTCTATAAGGATACCTAGGATCTGTGAAACCCAATTAAACTCTGTCGTTTAATTTAAATATCAGGCAAATTTTCTGATCAGGAATATGTGTAGTGAATTTATATCAGGTTTACATAAAGTATTATTGTAATTTTACTTAGAAACCAGGCCTAGTATTATGTAGTTATAAATTGGAAGCCATTTTGTAATTTTTGTTAGTGTTAAGTAAAGCCTACTTAAGAAAGGTTGTTTGTCGCTTACTTACTCTACTTATAACAATATGTCACCCTTGGTAAGAAAAAATCGCGCGGTTCAGGACATATATTTCGTAATGCACTATATTTTCAGATGAAGAATATTTCTATCGCCAATTCTCTACAGTTTGGATATTCAACAGCTCTTCTGAAATTTTCGGATGAAGCGTTTTATAAAAACAGAATACTTGTGAGATTATTCAAGCGTATTTCTTCTTAGGAGAGCGGCTAAGTATAGACTTAAAGACAAGTAACTCCTCTAACTCAGAATACACCTGGGGCCGGTTGTTCAAAGCTACACGGCCAAAAAATGATCAAGTTGTTGCATCAGGGGTGAACAATGTTGTGCTGCAACCCATAAACAGTATTGTTAACAATGTTGTTGAACCTTGTTGAATCATTAGTGTTGATGCAATGTTGTTGTAACAAGTTGTAACAACATTGTTAAAAATACTGTTTGCAGGGTGCAGAACAACATTGTTCACTCCTGTTTTTAACAACTTGCATCAACCTGATGATTTTTACGCGTGTAGGTGAGAGCTTAACCCTGGGTTGAAACTAACGCTCTTTTGCGTTTATATGCTTCTGCACTGGGGTTTGTTTCAAGACTTTACAAAATAAGACTTCTATTCATCCACAAAATATTTATGAAAAAACATGTTCAACTTCATAAACAAGGGATTAAAAAAATTGATCTGAAAACTTGAGTTAACCCCGGTTAAGCTAACCGGCTTTTGAACAACCGGCCCCTGGCGTTTAAATGCTCTGTTTGGTTGCCGAAGTATCTGGTTTAAATTTCATGAATTTCGATAAAAGGTTGATGTGCTTCTTAGTAGAGTTATATATATATAGTACTGTCCAGCCGGAAATAACACTGCGGTTGCGGCTCGGTCAGGGTTTGGCTGCAGTCGACCGACAGAAACTGCAGACGACCGCAGGGAAGAAATACCTCGCAGTTGCCGTTCGCTTCCGAACGAAATGTTGAACAGCTGAGAAGAACAAAACAATAACCAAATCTATCAGACCGAGTTAGGCCAAGTTTTAACTTCCATCTCGCAACGATTCGACCTCGGTCTGACTTCGGTTCAGTCGCGATCAGAGCGAAGTTTGACCTAGGTTAACGGCGGTTTTTGCTGGGCTAAATCAGATGCATTCGTCTAAATGGCAAGCTATTTCAAAGCGTACATTTGAAATAGCTCTCTTTGCCGACTAATCCTTATCAGTTTAAACATCGTATTATTCTCTTCAGTTCGACACACCTGTCAAGCAATTCAGTCTTATGTAGCCAAAGCGATATAACATTGAATAATTTTATGTTGTCATTATTAAACAAAACAAAGTTACTTCCATGCTTCCCCCCAAATTGTAGCGGTTGTTCAAGCAATACTGTAAATATACTAAATATCATCCATGCAACACAAACGTTCTTTCTATCGAGCAATAAGAAATATTATATATTATTATATATTAGGCTAAATGCATTGAATTCGTTTGAATGGAAAGCTATTTCAGAGCGTATTTCAAAAGTTCAACTGTTTTGAAACCACTTATCTATTGGTTAACATACGTTCGTTCAAAAGACCGAAGTCTGAAAGTTTCAGCCTAAACTGGTACTCGTCAATATATATACGATCCAGATGCGAGCATATATTGTTTTTATTTGGAAGGGCGAATACAGTACATAGGTTAACCTTTCCTTTGTTGTTGAATGAATCGAATGAGACGTATACTTTTAACTTTCCTCGTAAAACTTCTGGAATATCACCGCAATACGACTCAAACACGTGCAAGGTATATTACGGGGAATAAATTGTGCTTCAACAAGTATTACTGAATGTATATGTTTATAATCAAGCAAACGAAGCCCTCGTATCTTGATAATTTTATGATGTTTTCTAAAGTATTCTCAAAACAATATATTCAATATATAAATGCATTTCTATTACTTAAAAACGCAATGAAATATCCATCATAAAATATACATGCATGGACTAAATCGACTTGGCACAAAAAAAAATTAATTCGTTAGCTATTTAAAAATAGCAGTGCCTTCCGTTTTAAAGAAACTTAAAAAGTTAGCTTACAAAAATTTTTAAAATATCCTACCTCAGCTTGTATGGTGTTGCTTTCTGTGATAGCTATATAGAGTTTCCCTTCGTCTCCCAAATTTCGATGTCTGCATGTTATGGATGTATACAAAAGGCGTATTCTAAAATACTGAAGGATATACGTGCAATTATATTTCATTAACTCCGCTTAATTAGACACTTCTTAAGAGTAAAAAGGCTTGAATGATTGTAATAAAGATTTTAATAAAATTTTTCTTCGGAAACACACTTGAACTATAAAGAAACATAATTTCAAACGTTTTCACCGCCAGCAAGCAAACACGAATGCTTTTCCATAATACTGCATGTAAAGCAACATAAAAGCAAAAAAACATGTCGTGAAAGTGATTTACGTTAGAAATAAAAGCAAAACAAGAATTAGAAATTAAAGATATTAAAAACAAGTTTGGAAAGAAACTTACGAGCAGTTTTCACCTGTCGTAATAACAATAATTATTCCTCTTATGGAAGCGGCGCCTCATTTCCTTTAATCAATAAGCTTATATTCCATATGCAGTCAACGAATACAATTGTGATGATTAATGAAAACCCACAACGGGTTAACATTGGTAATATATACCGAGGCTATACTACAATGATCATTATAAATTGACTAGAATGCATTAGGCCAGTTTCAAACGTCGAACTTTTCATGTACCGAACCTAATGCAAATGAAGTAAAGGCTTTGTTGAAGTTCATTTGCATTCGATTTGGCACATGAAACGTTCGATGTCTAAAACTGGCCTTAGTTCTGGAATTTCAAAAGATTGATAATTTTATCGGAGATCGTATGCATGTCAAACTGTTTTGTTTATGGCATGAAATTTTAATCGTCGATCAAGCATCCATCAAAGTCTCTCCTCGTTTTTGGTCTTTTTTACCGCCAATTACTGTTGGTAATCAATCCCTGTTCCCATAGGAACGGTGCTAGACACGAGTTCTGAAAAGGTTTTTTGGGATATACGACAAAACAAAACAAAAAAAAACTCTAGATTTGTTGTTTGATAGATATATGCAATTTAGGCGACGCTTAATTCAGTTCCCTGTTCAAAATGTCAGTTTATATAACTAATTCACTAAACGGTATCTAACCATCTTATTGAAGGCTAAAATTTTGTCACAAACACTCCCTTAGTATTCAACACAGGAGCTCTGACTGTGTCAAAGTTTCGATTAAAATATTCTGCAGGAAAATTGAAAGCGTCTGCTACAATAAATTTGTAGCTTATAATTTAACAGTGCTAAATATATTTGGATTGAGGCTGTGAGCGATACTGGATTTTTAACGTAATGTCTTTTTGAACTATAATGCTTATGGATATCAGATAATAATGGAACTGATTAACGGCCGAAATGAATATTTTAGCAGTTTGCTATAGAAAGCCTAATCTGCGCTGTAATAACCAAGTTTCAAAGTAAAATGTCACATTTATCTCGTTTTAAGGTCCAAACATACTGGACGCGATTTGGCAACGCAGCAATTTTTGAAAGTTTTTCATTTTCCGAAAACAAATAAAATTTAAACTATCATTATATTCTTGTAGATTACTTAACGATAAATACATTTTGACTACTCTGGTGTCCGTAGATTCCAACTTTTGCCTCGAGAAATAATTTATGTGCCTGCTTGTGAAAACTGAAAATTAGCGTTGCGTTGCAAAATCGCGTACGGTCTAGCTGTGTCGACATTTAGTCATAGCAATAATAATAAGCGAAACAGACGCACGCCATGTTCTGAATTTTATGTCATATGAGATAAGAATTGTATGAAAAAATTGAATAGATTTTTCGCTATACACAGGGTGTATAAAAAAACGTAATCCAACTTCAACAGGATATTGTAGGTGAAATTTTTACACATTATAAGAGATCAGGTTACTATCGAATGACAATGTCTTTATATGTCTTTTTATATGCCTATATCTAAACACAATAAATTATAGCCTTGCGTAACATCTTCAATACGAAACGGACATATACAAAATTAGCAAATACGACGCTGAAACAAATTGTTAGTAAGAATAGCATATTTTCACTTCGGAGGTCGGTTGTTCAAAAGCCGTTTAGCTGAACAAATCTTTTGTACTAGTTAAAATATTCAAGTTTATTTAACATATTTTTGACATTTGAAAATGAAAAATTAGGCACGCTTTGGCTTGTGCACTCTTGATTTGCCATAACAACCTTTCTAAATTTTGATATTAAGCACGCTTAGGCTTGTGCACTCTCGTAAATGTATAAATTTTTAGCAGCTCGCGACTGATTGTCCCGCTCATGTGAATATATAACGTCGCCCACTGTATGAATAACACAACAACTAGATTAACCGAAGTTTCGTCATGAACTTTCGTTAAAACAGTGGTAACTGATGCTCGATGGACTGTACGATATTCTTTGCGTATAAAGTTTTGTAAATCTGGAGTTAGGTTAGGACTCACGGGAGGAAGATCTACAGGTGCAAAAACATTAAGAATTTTTTTCAAAAAGTCTAAATGTTTTCGGGAACGAAGTCAAGCATTCTTTACCTGCATAGAAACACATATATGAACTTTACAACTTGGTGAAATAATTTCATGTCGACTTTTGTCCAAGCATCTTTCTCGCCAGTCTCTTATTTCATCCTTTAGTTTTTTCAAGTGTTTGCGGCAAAATGGAATATCATCATTACAATTGACCAGAACTCCACCAATATACATCACGAAGATGAGACTGATCATCGTGCGTGAAATTTGCATTTGAACAAGGGAATATATCACCTGCACTGAATAAAATTTGTCGTTCAGTACGTTGTTTTAATTTTGGAAAATTTTCGTTAATTCTCTAATATAACTTACTTATTAATTTATTTGTATCAAAATTATTGAACAATGTTCAAACGGAAAAAATGCAAACGGAACACGAGGTCCCATGCGAGGCATTTCTCCGATTGCATGTATATACAAAAACAAATAACACATGCCCAGAAGAAACATATATAGCTACACGCGTCGAAGAATAAGCATACTAGCATATGCCACAAGCTCGAAAATTAAAAATTATTGTTTTGGGTAGGGGTTGCGGGGGGGGGGGGTATTTTTATGTTTGAAAATATATATTTCATCGGAAAGTGAGAGTAGCCTAAGATAATGTAAGAAACAACTAACTAAATTAGAATCAGGCAATAGCATATGTTAATTCTATTCGAAACGACCATGGACAGGGCATGTCGGCGTCGTAATAAGTGACTAATGAACGTAAATACGTTCTTGATAGAATCGATCTAAAGATTGCCAGGCTACGTAAGTTTGATCTTTAGTCTGATTTGAATACGCATTTAAGACAAATTGAGACATACATTTTTATTCAACTTCACGTCTTACTGAGTGCCTTACGTATACAAATGGGAAAGTTAGATTTGTAGCATAGGTAAAGATTTCAGTGTAAAGAATATATAGTCATGTTGAGCATAAAAGAGAGTTTTCATTCATTATAATGATTCAATGTTCTTACGTATTAGATTTCCCACGGAATTTCCCATTCACACTACTCGTACAATTTTGCACAGCGTGGCTAAAATTCGTCACCATACCCAATTTTCTCAGTGTTTAAATCTTAGAATAGTCTGAACGTTTAAACTGCACTCAATTTATCGGCACGGCAATGCTAAAATGGCGTACCCCTACCAATTTCATTTGTGCCCAGTCTTTGTATTGGTACGCTGAACGCTAACAAAATTTGGTACAGGTACACATTTTGATGTTTGATAAATTTAGTGTAGCATAAAAAGTGAGCGTGAGTTAAAAGGCCTTTATACATGCGTGCATGTGTTCTACGAAATCGATCCGGTTTCGTCGAAAACCATATTTAGTATAGTCCTTCTTGCGTCTCCTGCGCCGACGCATAAGCGGAACAAAAAAGAAAATTGCTCGTCTTAAATAAAATAAATATTATCGTCTTTACTTTCATTACCTGTGCATGCTGTTTAATTTTTTAGTTAACTCTGCATTTTTATCACCGGTCGACGAAGAATTCCGCATGTTGATCGTAATCGGTGCGGATGAAATGCGTGTGGCTTTGTGAAAATTCGTTCTTGTTTAAAAACTGCGGAAATAATCATTACCGCTTCAAGTTAGATATATTTTTTTTACCAACCACAATATTTTTTGTGTTCAAAAGTCATTCACAACAACAGGTACGCAATTTGTCGGTACGAACCTTACTGAAATAAATTCATGTCGACTTTTGTTTAAGCATATTTTTGGCCATGCAGTCTTTTGTATCTTATTCTTTTCATTTTTTAAGTAACAGTTGCAAAATGGAATATCATGATTACAATTGACCAGAATCCACTAAAATACATGAAGAAGATGAGACTGATCATCATACGTGTAACATGCATTTGAGCAAGGAAATACATCACATGACTCGGGTAAATTTGGTCGTTCAATACATTTCTTAATTCATCAGAAAAGAGCAATACATTATGGCAAATTCGGTGCACCGATTCTCATTGTTTAAAACTGAAACAGGATATAATTCGTATGATTGAAGGTGGTAGGGTATAATTATGTGGAACACTAATTGTTGTATGATGATTGAAAAATTTTACATAATTTTATGTCCAGTGCAGTAAACGTTCCAAACTGGCCAGCCACAGTAGTGACGTTCTCTCGGAGATCTCTAATTAAGCGCAAAGGAGCGTTTTTTAACAGCGAAAAGAAGAAGTACCGATATAGAAATTTAAGCTGATCGGAAATGAACACGACTAAATTACTTGACAATCATGAAGTTTAGAAATTGTTCGCTCCGTTTGTTTACATTTCTGGCATTTCTGGCATTTCTTTACATTTTCAAGCAGACTGTAGCCTTTCTACAAGACTTTTTATTTCTTTAAATGCAAGCTATACATAGAATATAAATGTTATCTTACCTCTATTTGAATGCCTTTTCCTTTGAGAGTGTAGTGTTTAGCAACAGCAGGCAAAGAATGTCTTGACTGAAACTGTAATACCAGACTTCTAGCCAAAAAGCTCTCGAAACTGAAATGAAAAAAATGTCAAAAATTAACATAAAGCTCTACGAACTGTAATA